TGTGTAGACTGATTTCAATTCAACCGGAGGTGGTGGAGCAGGATAGTGTTGCCTAAGATCTGGACGAGGTGTTGCGCCTAACGGACTCTCTGGGAAGCTAGAAATACTGGCTTTATAAAAAGACTTGGTGACTCTAGTGGAGGTTCGTGGCGTCTCGTCTGCCATTTTTCGTTGCGCTGCCAGATTTTTTAGCGTTTTAATCCGGACGGAATAATTACTTTCCTATTTCCTATATGAGGCGATTTGCTAATGACAGTCTTGATAGCAACAAGTTAGAAAGAGCTACATGAAATGATAGACATTGTGGTGTTACAAAGTGAAAGAATGGGCCTCAGTTTAAAAAAAAAAAAAAAGAAAGGCAGAAGTAATGGAAGTATTAAAGAAAAGAATTATTCCTAAATGTTTAATAACAGTAAATGGTATTATTTTGGGGCAAGTACAGAAATTTAAGTATCTGGGCACATGGATAACATCAGATAGGTAAGGTTAGTTGCGAATCCTTTACAGGACGTTGCAGAACCAACCCCAGCAGCCCCTGGCTGTTGTGTGGTTTCTCTAGGCAAATTTACGTCCACTAGTTTGCCATTGCTACTGAACGGTCGGCGCCCTGATACCACTGCCGAAACTAACGCAAGGCGCATGGCCCGCAGCTGGGATCGAGCCCGGCACCCCGGCATTACGAAGCGTTTGCATCGACTTAGCCACAGAGCCTGACATCAGATGGAAGATGCAAAACGGAGATAAGAAACATAATAGAACAGGCAAAAATTGCATTTTATTAAATAAAGAACATTTTCAATATATCTCTGTCACTGAAGGTTAGAAAAATATTGCTTGCTACATACATCCAGTTTTGACATATGGCTGTAAGTCCTAGACAATCGGTAGGCAGGCCAATTTTTTGAGGCCTCCGTAATTTGGTATTTACGTAAAAATGCCTAATTAAAATACATTGGACAGCCAAAAAGAGCAACCAAGAAGTTTTGAAAAAGGCGGGAGACAATTTATCACAGATATCAGAAGGAGACAGTCATGTTATGAGAAGAGGGAAAATTTAACAGGTTCTGACCACTGGAAAGATCTGTTGAATGAGGGATAGAGGAAGACATCGAGAGAAGATTCTTGAGTCTTGTTGCATGGTATGGAGGTGTGTCGGCACACAAGCTGATACATGCTGCAGGAGATCGCGGATTGTGGAGATGCATGATCGCCCACACCAGTCGACAAGGCACCCAATGATAATGAACAGTTGGAGAGCGCCATGGAAGAAATATCTGGGACCCTTCAGCGATAGGACAACTGAATGTAATTATAACGGAGAACAACTGCTGAATCTGTGTGCAGAACATGACTTGATTATCAATAACATCTTTTATCAACATCGAAGAAGTAAGATATTAACATGATATTGTTTTTGTGAAAGTCGTCCCCACGTGGGATGCAATTTTTGGTTTGAAGCCCCACCCTGGCTTTTGCCGGGAACCCTGAATATAGTCCGGGGCATAGACATGGCCTAGCGGCTGAAAGGGGTTTATGAGACCTTCCACCGGTGATCCTCATCCGCATGGTGGCACTTTGTGTCACTGGGAGTTTATCGCTTGTGTGATGTTCTCGTGGGTTACAACTACCTAGCTACCTTAACATGGCATAGATGGAACAACTTAAATCAAGCATCCCATTTTGATTTTATTTTGACAGGAAGGAGAAAGAGATGGAGACTAAAGAACTCTCTCTCTCTCTCTCTCTCTCTCTCTCTCTCTCTCTCTCTCTCTCTCCAAAACTACTAGTCGTCTGTCAGGAGTGTCACATTAAAAACGAATTCTGTAGCCCCGGTGACGATCCTCAGGATTCTTAATTAAAATTGCAGCCCTGAACTAAGCGACACAGTCGTGAAACGAACCTACGACCGTCAAGGTGCTAGGCAATTGGCTTAACCATTTCGACACGAATCCATTGATCGATCTATGGTTTGTCTCCTGGCAAGTCGGGCAGCATGATATTGACCACGTCACCCACCGCGTATCGATTGGTCTTTAAATATGCCCAATAAATACGCCCGAAAAGGTTAAAAAGAGTCCTTTGCTTTACTATTTTCTTCTTGTTCCATATTGTGATAATCCCAAGCAGTTCTGCATGGGTAAGGATTCGCCCCAGAGAAATTAAGACGGGCTGGTCTCGATTTATAAATTATAAATTTATTTTTTTAACCGACATTAGGTTATCAATGTCAGACTTGGACATTAACAAAAGAACACGAGAGAAGACTAACCACCTGTGAAATGAGATGTTTGAGAATGGCTGCGAATAAAACCAGAAGAGATCGAGTGAGAAACGATGTGATTACAAGAACTATTGGAACCATACCCATCGTTAAATTTATTGAGAAGCAAAGAATGAAATGGTTTGGTCACCTAATGAGAATGGAACCAACGATGCCAGCATCAAGAGCATACAACATGAAAATCGGAACACCAAGAGGCAGGGGAAGACCAAGAAGAACATGGATTGAAGGAGTCACGGACAACTTGAGACTTCATAACATCACGGCATATGAAGCGACTGAGCGCGCCCTGGCTCGGTTGCCGATCATCTGATAGACTGCGACGCCTAGCGGCACAAGCAGATTTTGACAAAAGAAGAAGGTCTCGCGTGAACGGACGACGTCGTGAAGATAACCGGAAGTGAAATGAGCTGCAACTAAGGACGCTCTTCCTACAGCGGCTGTTCGTCTGCTGAACTAAACAAATCAACTAATACTACTATTAATTAGTTAATTTTAAACATCAATTCTTGGGCTCAAGTCGGAGAGTGTTGGAGATATCTGCAGCCAGGCTTCACTGTTTAAACTTTACCTGTCTGATTAAATATGAGTCCCAAGACTAGAGATTGATAGTCTCGAAATATGAATATGATCCATTGCAGGAAACCGTCATTGTCATTGGAAAAACTGCAGACGATCAAAATCATACCGATACAACATACTAGTTTGGAAACAAAGAACATTATAACAGATATTACAATTTCAGGGCTAGTTATATTAATATTATTTAAAAATATATATTTTTTGGCTTTTCTCTAAATGATGATATAGGTCTAAGTATAGGTCTGAGTGATCGCGTTTAAAAATATACCATAACAGGGCCTCACTGATATGTAAAATTACGATTTATTTCCAGCAAATATGGCAGGCACACCATCAGCTCCGACACAGATAGGCAATAATGCTTTACCGATTAAGAAACTGGTAGCTGTAGATGTTAGACCTGTCGACTTGTGTGTGTGTATATATATATATATATATATATATATATATATATATATATATATATATATATATAGGAATATAGGCCTATACATATATATATATATATATATACATATATATATATATATATATATATATATATATATATATATATATATATATATATATATATATATATATGAATTAGGGTTAGCCCTAACCCTATCACTCAAACAATTGAAAAGTTATGGATGCAACTCATGCAGAAGCAAACTTATTGAGACCCTGTTAGTGTATATTTTTAAACATGATCATTCAGACTCATAATTCAGAGGTTTGTTTATGTAATCAATTAATAATTTTTTTAAAGTTTTAGCTCTAGACAGAAATACATCATCTAATCATTTATCTTTAGCTCTACATTTTAAATTTATTTTTGAGGCTTTATGTAATTTAATACATATTTATTAGTTTTTCTTCCACAGGAATATGTAAATAATTTAAGTACATTTAATAAATTATATAAAACTCCCAATATATGTTTAAAAGATTTGTAGATGCGGTAAAGGATTTATATCTGTTTTCTCTGTGTCGGTTCCAAGAGCTAGACCACTGCCTCCTTATCAAGCATGTTTTAAAAGGCGACTACTTAGAGATTCTTCCTCTGTAGTCAGAGTGTACCTGCATGGCAAACTGTAAAACAGATATGCATGCAACGTTCAGCTTCTTGATCAAGTCTAAAATTCAGAAGTGGACCAACAACCAGAACTTTCTGCATTATTTACAGCCGGTGAACGCTAACAAGAAGAAGAAGATTTATATCTGCCTAGAGTTTAAAATGAAAGCCATTAGTAACGTAAATAAGCCTTTTCACACCATTTTTACATGAGGCATATGGTGCTAGACAGACCCAGTTTATTGATTGTGTTGACTATATATTCTGTGTTTCAGTTACGTATTTCTTAGAACTCTTGATGGAATCATTTATCAGATTGTAACAATGTATAATGTTGGAATCATTTATTAGATTGTAACAATGTATAATTAATCATTTATCAGATTGTAACAATGTATAATGTTGAAATCATTTATCAGATTGTAACTATGTATAATGTTGGAATCATGTATCAGATTGTAACAATGTATAATGTTGGAATCATTTATCAGATTGTAACAATGTATAATGAATCATTTATCAGATTGTAACAATGTATAGTGTTGGAATCATTTATCAGATTGTAACAATGTATAATGAATCATTTATCAGATTGTAACAATGTATAATGTTGGAATCGTTTATCAGATTGTAACAATGTATAATAAATCATTTATCAGATTGTAACAATGTATAATGAATCATTTATCAGATTGTAACTATGTATAATGTTGGAATCATTCATCAGATTGTAACAATGTATAATGTTGGAATCATTTATCATATTGTAACAATGTACAATTTTGGAATCATTTATCAGATTGTAACAATGTATAATGTTGGAATCATTTATCAGATTGTAACAATTTATCATGTATTACCTTCAGTATACAGATGATGCCTGACTGAATTAATGTGTAGTCAGTCATCTTACAATTTGAGGACATCTTACATAATCCATTTTAAATGTATCATTGCCTTTTACCCACCTAAGATCCATTAACATGAAGCATGTAATGTTTTCATTATTTAATTTTTTTATTAGGTTCAGGTTTAGCAAGCAATCATTTGAAAATCAGCCACTTTCATCTGTGAAACAAAATGGCACGGATAAAATATGCTACCGACTTTGACAAATCTGTGCTGCTTAATAATTTTGAGAATCACGGCTGGATTCAAGTTAGCTGTGAGGAAGACTGGAATTTTTACTGGTAGGTTAATGTACTATAGTGAGTTGTGACCATGAGGATGCAATTATTTGTACACTTGCCTGCTGACCCAGTGGTCTTGTTTTTAAAACCCTGACACACAAGAATTATTTAATAATAGATACCAGAGGATGGACTGGCTGAAAGGTTGCAGCATGAGGGCTCTCATGCAGAAGACCCGGGTTCGACCCCCTGTAAAGTTATGAAGTTTTTCTGTCAGAGGAAAAATTAAACATCCTAATCTGTACAGTCCATGGCAACATAAAAAGTAGTAAAATACAGATAGTAGTGACAGTAATAATAGATACCAGGAAATGTCCCCTCCTCCCGAGCGAGACATTTTCAGAGGTGACCTTGACTTCCAGGTCAACCCAACCTTAAGTTATGAGTTAGATTATGTTCACAGCACTCCGGACGCATCCATAGGCGCTCAGATTCCCCTCTCAACATATTCATCAGCGTCGTGCGGTTAATAGTACCAGTCCTATGTTGGTTAACAAGACTTTGTGTGCGTCCAGTGTGCTTCTCATGCCTGTCTCTGCCGATCTTTACTCCCAATTCGCGTATTCTTAGAAGTGATGTGGACACGTTGCTTCCAAAATCCTCAAAACGTCCTATCTCTCTAAGGACAATGACAATGTCTGCGTGATTCATGGGCCGGCCATCCTCAATTAATGCAGTGCCTGCCAGTCTATCAGCTCTCTCATTACCAACAACGCCTGCAGACCCTGGGACGAATATGAAAGTCTCACATGGGTACGAGGTAGAGTCCTGGAAAAACACGGCCGCCACTGTGATGTTGACCACATTACCCCCCAAGTCCTGTTTGGCATATACAATATAGCTCTAACCCTGTAGTCCAATGCATTGGAAGGTGTGGAGAAGGATATTTTACTTGACTTTTTACCTACTTACCAAGCAATGTCCTGGGGTTTAAATGTCATATGGATATGATATTTATCACGTAACCTATTAAGGGCCCATTTATCTGTACAAAATTGGGAACTAGCACCATACCCCATATCACCCCTCAAGATGTGAGTCAGAGATTTACTTTTGTTTTCTTGGATACAAAACATTAAAAACAATAACTAGGATATTGTGGGCTCATTCAATTACACTTTTGAAGAGGAAAATGTTTGTGCAAATAGCTAATGTTTCAAGTTAAATAATAACATAAGTTATTGATAATAATGATTTATCATTGTCTGAAAATGTTCTCAGGGCCGGAGTTCACAACATAAGAGGCATCTTCAGTGTGGAAAGTGGTTTTCGGCTGCAGGATGATCAGTAAGTTCATTTAGTTAATTATTTCAGAGTAGATTAACAATAGATGTCTAAGAATGAAATAAAATCTCAGAAAAATCTGGCTGAATGACTGTCAAACAGGTTAGATACAAATAATAAGTGACCTTTGAAGAATTCACTTTTTTGTGTTTGTTTTTCAAATCAGTGAAATCCAGGTATAAATTGAAGACAATGGAGGGGACTAGGAATGTTCTGAATTGGATAGGTGACAAACCTGAATTTCCACTATATTTGGTTTCAACTGTGTAAAGATGCTGTTACCCAAAAATGGAAGTTTAAGTCGTGGTGTTTGCATATATTGCCAGGACATGGCTTTTGTAAATGGATCAGTTGAAAAAACAAAGTGTTCAATCTGATACTATCTATGTCTTGAGTTAGTTGAAGACTAGCTCAAAGAGTGAGAAAATAAACAAGTTTAAAAAAGGAAAACTCAACAACCAGCCACTATCTTTTTCAGAAATCAAAACCCTCATTTAGAGAAAATGGAAAACAGATTGGAAACAGACACAGGTCATTACCATGAATATGATTTTCTCAATCATCTGAACAGAACAGATCAAGTCACAATATTTGGCTTACACACTAAAATACTGCAGTTCACATAAATTAGGAATGAACCAAACAGCCTTCAGTCAGTGTCTTCACACCAAAAACACTGCAAAACATGTCTTGAAAGTATGTCCTCTCCTGGAGGAGCTGCAAAGCAATATGTGGCTACATCCAGTAGACCGGACAACCAATTTTTTTCTAAAATACCTGAATGATGCAAATATTGCAAGTAAGCTGCAAACAAGTACATCGATGCCAGTATCCATCTCAAGACAACTGAGGAAGCAAAATATTAAATGTACAAAGACATAAAGTAATGAGGATTGAATCTGGTAACATAACAGTTATTCCTGTTTTGGTTCTAGGGCCACATTAAGGGGGGGGGGGGGGGGGGGGGGGAAGGGGGTTGGAAAAGAATAAACCTCCTGCCTCCTAACAAACTCATAAAAGTAGACTAAGTAGGGGCATTTTCTTTGAAGTCTGAGTGCATCTGCCTAAGAGGCCAGAAACCAACGATCTGCTTACAAATAAACCAGATCTGTAAACAGATGTGCATGCAAAAATCCAATTCTGGAATAAAACCAGAGTCCAGAAATGGATTGAACAACCAGGACTTTCACCAGAGTTTACAGCCGGTGAACACTAACAAGAAAAAGATATAACAATTAGCTGAAAAATAAATTTTAAAATATGATAAATAATGTGAATGTTTTCTGAAGCTTGCTTTGAAAAGAATTTGTCCAGAACTTTAAACAGCTGTGATTAATCATGAGTAATATTTGTCAATTGTTTAACATGACTGTAAATTTGTATTACAGAGTAATCAATCACTTTCCTAACCATGCTGAGCTGACACGCAAAGACTTGATGGTGAAGAATATCAAACGATATCGTAAAGATTTAGAAAAGGAAGGCTCTCCTCTTGGAGAAAAAGATGACAGTGGACGATTTATTCATTTAGGTTAGTCTTATTCCTACTACATTTTTTAATTAATTTTATTTGTATAGCTTTTTTAAAAGTGAAAACATGAAATTATTTTTTTAATAGCGTTGTAATTTTGGTCACAGGCATGAGGGAAAGTTAAGGCTGTTGTGATGTGTATAATGAGTTACTCCATACCTCGCCTCAGGCACCAACAGGCTCTGTGCTTGTTTTACAGATCCTCATGCAAGTCTCCTGCCACACATCCATGTCATGCACTACGGATAAGGGCTTGCCTTTGAGACCAGAACCCTACTGGCTGGGGATCTCGGAGTTGATGGCTCTCAGAGATGTAGTGATCAGTCTGGTTCTCATTAGCTCACCCCCAGTGCATTTGTGAAAACGTCTGTCTAATTTCATGCGAAACAATCACTGGCCGAATATACTACTTAAATGACAACTCTCGGTTAAAAAGTCTGTCGGGTGGGGAAAAAACAACTGCTGAGACTCAGTCCTAGACCATGAGATTTGCTCGCAGCTTAGACGAGCAACATCTCATATGGGTGATTTCTCGTGGGATAGTTCTGTCTACGACATCCTTTGTTGGCCCTCAACATCTTTGTCATCCCAATGAGGCACACCATGACAACCTGCCAATATCAGTCCTCTGGTTAAGCTCAAATTTCCATCAGATACGTGTCCCAATGCGCGACAGCAAAGTTGTCATGTCTGAGAAAGTCTTTTACTGTTTGCTCTAGCTGTACATGCCAGAGTGTTGTGACCGAACAGGAAAGGAATGTTAAATGGATGTTTTCTTCATACTGTCATTCATGCTACGTGTCCAGGTGAAACAACAAGAAAGGTTTCTAGCACGTGTAAAAAGAATGGATATAAATTGTGTGGCCATTGAAGTCTTGGACCCGCAGTCTGCTCCCTGCTGATTTCTAGAGGGTGTAGCCCGTGACGAGTGGACAGCTCAACATATGGATGTGAGGTTGAGAAGACATGTGCAGAATGTACTGCTTCCTTGGATGAGCCTAGCACCAGAGCGTCATGTGTTAACTCTGCAATTATGGAAGCCTCCTTGGATAGCAAAGAATGCATACGATATTCCCCTACCTTTCCTTGAGGGCTGACCAGTCTACACATGGTTTCCCTGGACGGGTTCTCCAGTGGCAACACTTATAGGTAAGGGATAAAGAGAATTCCACACAAATATGGTTACTCTGTGTCCCTCAAAACTATCCAGGAAGATAACCAGGTCAACAAATGCTTGATGAAGTCAGATGTGTCTGCCGAAAGGCCTGTAGACAGACAAAGTCAATGCATCTGCCTGAGAGGTGAGGATAAAACAACAGTCTACACACAAATAAAGCCAGATCTGTAAAAGTGATCTGCCTGAGAGGCCTTCAAAGTCAGTGCATCTGCCTGAGAGGTGTACCTCAAAAACAACAGTCTACACACATAGAAGCCAGATCTGTAAAAGTGATGTGCCTTCAAAGTCAGTGCATCTGCCTGAGAGGTGAGGAAACAACAGTCTACACACATAGAAGCCAGATCTGTAAAAGTGATGTGCCTTCAAAGTCAGTGCATCTGCCTGAGAGGTGAGGAAACAACAGTCTACACACATAGAAGCCAGATCTGTAAAAGTGATGTGCCTTCAAAGTCAATGTATCTGCCTGAGAGGTGAGGAAACAACAGTCTACACACTAATAAGCTACATAAGTACCCAGATCTGTAAAAGGTGATGTGCCTTCAAAGTCAAGTGCATCTGCCTGAGAGGTGAGGAAAAACAACAGTCAATGCATCTGCCTGAGAGGTGAGGAAACAACAATCTACAAATAAGCCAGATCTGTAAAAGTGATGTGCCTTCAAAGTCAGTGTATCTGCCTGAGAGGTGAGGAAACAACAGTCTACACACAAATAAGCCAGATCTGTAAAGGTGATGTACCTTCAAAGTCAATGCATCTGCCTGAGAGGTGAGGAAACAACAATCTACAAATAAGCCAGATCTGTAAAAGTGATGTGCCTTCAAAGTCAATGCATCTGCCTGAGAGGTGAGGAAACAACAATCTACACACTAATAAGCTAGATCTGTAAAAGTGATGTACCTTCAAAGTCAATGCATCTGCCTGAGAGGTGAGGAAACAACAATCTACAAATAAGCCAGATCTGTAAAAGTGATGTGCCTTCAAAGTCAATGCATCTGCCTGAGAGGTGAGGAAACAACAGTCTACACACAAATAAGCCAGATCTTCAAAGTCAGTGCATCTGCCTGAGAGGTGAGGAAACAACAGTCTACACACTAATAAGCCAGATCTTCAAAGTCAGTGCATCTGCCTGAGAGGTGAGGAAACAACAGTCTACACACAAATAAGCCAGATCTGTAAAAGTGATGTACCTTCAAAGTCAATGCATCTGCCTGAGAGGTGAGTAAACAACAATCTACACACATATTAGCCAGATCTGTAAAAGTGATGTACCTTCAAAGTCAGTGCATCTGCCTGGGAGGTGAGGAAACAACAATCTACACACAAATAAGCCAGATCTGTAAAAGTGATGTACCTTCAAAGTCAATGCATCTGCCTGAGAGGTGAGGAAACAACAATCTACACACAAATAAGCCAGATCTGTAAAACTGATGTGCATTTAAAACTCAAGTTCTCGAACAAGACCAAAGACTAGAATGGACAAACAACCAGAACTTTCCGCAAGAGTTTACAGCCAGTTAACGAGAGGAAGAAGAAGAAGATAATTTTGTTTCCATATATTTTGTGTGTGTGTGAATATTTGATAAATAATATTATGTCCTAAATTAACTTTGAAAGTTGTATTCTTTATACTTGAGCACAGCTGGCAAGCTATAAATATTTGATCTATACTGTCATATAAATGTACTTCCAGTATCCGTATTTATATTTCTGTTTATTAGATTTTATTCCTCAGACGTTTATGCTGCCAGCAGACTACAATCTTTTTGTGGAGGAGTTTAGAAAAAACCCTAACACAACATGGATTATGAAGCCATGCGGAAAGGGTAAGACTGTGTATTATTTTATTTCACTTTATGTACATGTAATAGAAAAGCCACCATAATGTGGCAGCTAGACTCTTGCCTGCAGATCAGAAGGTCTTGGGTTTAGGTCCTGATGGAGCTCGACATTTAAAAAAAAATGTTTTTGGCTTCCTGATCGACAAAGTCTTGAGTCGATACGAGGTAAAGTCCTGAGAAGTAAAGGCAGCCAGCATGATGCTGACCACATCACCCATCGAGAGCCGATTGGTCTATAAAATATCAGATCTAGCCCCGTATGTCCTCTATACCCAGACTAGAGTAGCATGAATTGTAATGAGAAGTGAATGAGGCGAGTGTAATATTTACCATATAATTTATTATCTCATACAGCTTCATGCAGATTTCTGAGGTCAACAGTCAAAGTTCGCCTACCAGAGGAAGTAAAAAACCTCGCCAGGAATGCGGCAACGAAACAAAAACTGATATGATCACTACAGGAGCTATGTAGTTCATGCCTTATATAAAAGCACGGGCGTATTCAAATGCAACGCTCTGTAAAAATGTGAAAGCAATCGGTGAAGAACTTTTGGAGATTAGCTACCACTAACAAAGGAACATTTACATTTTTATTTATATAGATAATGTTAATTAAGCTTGTTGATAGATGGGACAAGTAATAAATCAAAGGTGTTTAATGAAACTACATTTGTGACAATAAATGTACGTTTCAGCTCTCTGAGAATTAAAAATAATTACTGATTGAAAGATTATGATTTGTTTCAGCTCGAGGTATTGGAATTTTCCTGGTCAACAAATTATCCCAGATAAAAAAGTGGTCACGAGATGGAAAAATGAATACGTAAGTTTTGTCAAAAAATTGTTTTGTCTTGTTTCACTATCTGCAGTGTAAATGCAGTTTTATTAATTGTTGTAAATTATCTTGATGGTTGTATTTAGAATATTGACCTTATGAATATACTTGAATTATATCCATAAAGTTGCATCAATGACCTTTATATAATCAAATAAGCAATATGAAAATTGTATTTTATTGTTAATAATTGCTTTCACATTATCACCATATTGTCATTGTTTATGTTATTTGATTCCAAGTTTGAAGAAGTTGAATGATAGTTCCTAAACAAGATCACGCTCATTGGCTATACGTACAGTAAAGGCACACCAGTCATAACACATCAATCATTTTCAGTAAGCAGTCTGTTCTTCTTCTTCTTCTTCTTTCATTCACTTTAAATAGATTATCCATATCTGCAATGCTGTCGGGAGTCGCCATGATGTAGTGGCTAGACGCTCGCCTGTGGATCAAAACGTCGTGGGTTTGCTCCCAGGCGGAGCCAGACTTTTAAAAAAAATGACCTTGGCTCCCAGGTCGACCCAGCCTTGAGTGGGTACCGGGTGCAGTCCCAGGAAGTCAGGGCAGCCGGCATGATGCTGACCACATCACCCATCTTGTGCCGATTGGTCTAATAACTATAGGTCTAGCCCTGTATGCTTAAAGGCGTGGAAAAGGGTCATTTACTTTACTTACTTACTGCATTGCTGTCTCTAGTATGAACTTCACTGTCTAGGCTATTAAGCAGTGACATCTGACGGAAAATACAGATACAAAATTTCCTTATCCAAAGATTTTTATTCAAGAGTGATGAACATCTTGTCTTCCTAAATGGATTCTGGGGCCCTCTTGTGGGGGAAACAAGAATAGACCCCCTGCCTCCCAGCAAACATATCATAAGTGCCTGAGAAGCAAGGAACAACAGTCTGCATACAAATAAGTCAGCTCTTTAAAATGGATGTGCACACAACACTCATATTTTGGTAGCCGAACACCCAGAACTTTCCCCTGGGTTTTACAACCAGTAAACATGAAGAAGTAGAAGAAGAAGAGAAGAAAAAGAGGAAGATGAAGAAGAAGAAGAAGAAGAAGAAGAAGAAGAAGAGGAGAAGAAGAAGACAAGAAGAAGAAGAAGAAGAAGAAGAAGAAGAAGAAGAAGAAGAAGAAGAAGAAGAAGAAAAGAGAAGAAGAAGAAGAAGAAGAAGAAGAAGAAGAAGAAGAAGAAGAAGAAGAAGAAGAAGAAGAAGAAAAAGAAGAAGGAGAAAAGAAGACAAGAAGAAGAAAAAGAAGAAGAAAAAGAAGAAGAAGAAGAAGAAAATGAAGAAGAAGAAGAAAAATAAGAAGAAAAAGAAGAAGAAGAAAAAGAAGATCTGAAAAACAGAAACATGACAAATACAATTTTGCGCTTACTGACCAGTTATTTTTTACCTGTTCTTCTCAATGGATATAAAAACTAGACAGTTAATAATGAAATAATAAAGAAACTGGTGGCAGTAAAGACATTTTTGTTTAGACTGTCTTCTTCTGTGTTCACCCTTAGATGGGTGATTGGCATGTCCGTTGTGGCTAACAGCTAGGTTGTGAAATATGTGCCTTTTGGCCCAGCACATGTTTGTTAAAGGGGGAGGGTCATTTGGTAGACAGATTAATTCTTTGACATGGGCCATGGAACCCAGCACTGGAATTTTTTTCTGGATATGAATACTAAAAATGTAATGATCATAGAAGAAATAAAAGGACAAGTCATTGAGAGCTGTAGGAGTTACAGATGTATGTGGAACACTGAAACAGCTGGGCAACAGATGAGGACATTATGTATTGTTGGACCAGGGTTCTAATCCTTGCTAAGGCAGGAGATATATACCTGTGACAGAAGAAATATCAATTCTAGCCGCTACATTGCTTGAATATGTGGCTTCTATTTTCTTTGTTTAAAATAATCCCTGAAACACCCACTAGCAGTGGTACAATTGACTATCATAATAATTCAAAGAGACTAGATTGATATCCCCTTTACATAAAAACTGGTTGTCCGAGAGATTGTTACTGCTGGAACATTTAAGATACTTTGGTTTACACTTTAGTAGTTGTTTTGATTGTTAGATTTATTCATTAGTTAATTCTAAAAGAAACTGATTTATTCTAACACTGAAATATTCAATTTTAGATTCACTCCACCAACAGCAAAAGAGACATATGTGATTTCAAAATACATTGATAACCCACTACTCATTGGTGGCAAAAAGTTTGATCTTAGGATGTATGTCTTGGTAACATCATTCCGGCCATTAAAAGCTTATATGTAAGTTGATCTTACTTTATTTCTTTGCTTCTAAAAAGATGTTAGTATATTTTGCTCAGTTTATTTCCAGCTGTTAGTACAGTATATCAGTTTAAAAAAAAAAATTATCATTGTAGTTATCTACAGTTAAATGCAGAAATATATTACTATAGGTCAAATGTGTGTTCTATCTTTTGCTACATTAACTCTCCATCAACACACAATAATCATATTTTCAAAAGCTTGTCTGTGGCGGAAAATGTACAGGTTCGCTGCTGCTGGCAAATATGACATTTTAACTCTCTATGTGGGTTCTGGGGCCTTATTGTGGAAAAAACAAGAATAGACCCACTGCCTTCCCAACAATCATGTCTTGGGAGTTGACTAATAAGGGCATCCTTCGAGATTGAAGTGCATCTGCATGAGAGGCGAGCAACTAAGAGTGTGAATACACATAAGCCAGTTCTGTAAAACAGATGTGCATGCAACACCCAGGTTCTGGAACAATAAAGTCTAGAGGTTGAAGAACAATTAAAACCTTTTTGCTGGAGTTTACAGCCAGGGAACACAAAGAAGAAGAAAACCTCCTTTGATACCAGAGTATAGTTACATAATTTCTAAATCAATGCATTGATGCATTCCTTGGTACAAAAAAGTTAACCCTTTCGGTCCTAGAGAGTCACAGAGGCTAATAAATAATTCACTGTTTAAGAGTCACAGAAACCAATAAGGAATTTAGAAAGTAGATAAGGGCGGATGAAAGACAATATTGTGATAGCTTAGCAAGAGAGGCTGGAGTAACAGCAGTGAAAGGAAACTTCAGAGACCTTTACAGCATCACAAGGAAAATAGCCAGAAAAGATAATCAGATGAACTGATCGAACTCCCATGTTGGTTTGAGGCCAATTTTTGTGGGAAAATGAATAGACCCACTGCTCATCAACTAGCATACTGTAAAGGATTTGAAGAAATTGTATTTCTTTGCATAAATATCACAGCCTAACTGTAAACTACAACACAATGTGCTACCACCCTTTTAAAGATAAACAAGAGAAACATTGATAAAAAAAAAATCAAAAATATTTTAAGGTTGGATACTTTGAGGAATTTCTTTCCTTTACTTTTGTGAATACCAGTAAATATCTGAGAGCCTATTTCTCATGTTTTTCAGTGCCATTGGTGATTGGCAATTTTGTGAGTTACTTTACTAGGATATCCCAGTGTAACAACAAATGTTATCATGCATTTCACATCACTTTTCTGCAGATATCGCCTTGGGTTCTGTCGATTTTGTACAGTCAAGTACGATGCAAGCATGAACGAGTTAGACAACATGTTTGTTCATCTCACAAATGTTTCCATCCAAAAACAAGGGGTAGGTAGCGTTTTGTCAGTTGAAGTTTTAAACGGAATCCATCCCAACAAATACACAGTGTGTTTTTCACTCCATCACACAAATCCCAACTATCATGTAACACCTTGCCTTTCTTCTTATATTTAGCCTATATTTCATCAGCATAGTAAAGAAGCCTGTTTTTAAATAATATGGACACAAACAATACATTGCACCATTTATTGCCCGGCATATTGCACAATTTATTGAATGGCATATTTCACTTATCTCCTCAAATGTGTCACTGCAGAGTTAAATCAACACAAAATGAATCCTTTTTACTGAAATATGTAAGTTGAGCTGTAAATCTCTGTACCAAAAATTCAAGATCAGCCATGTCACCATAGAAACTTCAAATTTATCACTTAATCTTTTTGTTTACATGAAACAAAGGAGTTCAGTTTTATTGATACCACCTGTCAAAGTGTCTGAGCAAGTTTCAGACTTGTGCAGGGTTCTTATCCCTTTGGGTCATGAGTGCAGGGACTGGTTAGCTGGCGCTGCAGAATCAGAAGTTCAACAAATGATTGATGACAATTCCCGCCCAAGTGATGTGATTATATATACAGATGATTCTGTGTTGAGGAGCAGACGAAGTGCATGGGGGTTTATCGCAAAGGCGAATGGACGTGGCTTGGTGCAGCAAAACCTGGCATATGATATCACAACGTCTAGTTTAAGAATGGAGGTGGAGGCAGTTACTGCTGCCTTCCGCTGGCTTGAGAATCAGCTGTACACAAATGCTGTGATTGTCACTGACTCACAGAGCATGTTAAGAAAGGTGGAGATAGGTATGCTCTGTGCAGAGTGGCAAGCATCACTTCAGAGGTGCCGGGTAGTTAGCATCCTTTGGATATTCTCTCCAGGTTATGCTGGTGTTTCGGGAGATGAGCAGGCAGATAGACTGGCCAATTCTTCACCACTTGGTGCTGTATTGATGTATGACAAGCTAGATGTTGTGAGCGCCCTCTGGGAGCAAGTGAACAGTGGGGAAACACAAATAGATTATTACATTCCTGAGGAGAATGGCACCGTGAGGAGTAACCAGGGAACCTGGCCGATGCTCAGCACTCAGGGGAAAGGGTGAGACGGATATACAGTCAGACAGTTACTGGTGCCATCCGAATTGGTACTTTTTGTTTGCTGCTGAAGATGGGGACGGAGCGCTTATGGGGATGTCCCGAGTGCTACGATGTCGATTCTTAATTCAAAATTGAACATTGATACTACTTTAGCTAGTTTTAGTAAACTAGGATAGGATAGTCCACTGCCCCCTTATCAAATATACCATAAAAGGCGACTAATTTAGCATTTGATGAAATCAGATGTGTTTGGCTGAAAGGCACAAAGATTGCAGCCTAGCTGTAAACCACAACACAACATGCCAGTTGTCCTTTTAAAAGAGAGTGCAGAAGAATAAGAAATCTGGATATCTAACCCCATTGACCATTTTGGCTGCAAAATCCAGCAAATCATGAACAAGTCTACAAAGAACTTTGTGACAGGCGAATGGGAACCACAGCTCTATTGATGTCTGTTATTTTCCAGATTGGAATTTACTTTAAATTACGTGTTTTAGATATTACTGATCTAATATCACATCTGCAGGAAGATTATAATGCAATTCATGGTGGTAAATGGACGATACAGAATCTGCGATTGTTTTTGGAGAGCACACGAGGCAAGGAAGTCTCTGACAAACTGTTTGATGACATACACTGGCTAACTGTTCATTCTTTGAAAGCTGTTGCTGTAAGTTACATTTGTAGTGCCACTAAAACAGTTTTTATTTACAATTTTGTCTGTGTGTTAGTTATTTAGTTAGTCGACAGGTCATCCTGGCTGCATATGGAGATGTTCAGTTGATTAGCTCTGTGTTTGGGTTTGTGGGTCCCATTCTGGTAGAAAATAAAAATAGACCCACGGCCTCCATAACTAGTGTGTTGTACAAGGCAAGAATTTCCCGTGAAATTGGAGTGTACTGCCTGAGAGGCAAGAAACCAACAGTCTGCATACAAATAAGCCAGATCTGTAAAAGAGATGCACACAACTCGAATTCTAGAAAAAGACCAAAGTCCAGAAATGAGAATGAACAACCATAACTTTCCTGTGTGGAACGCGTACTTGTGGTGGTCTATGATGGAGAAAAGGAAAAGATGCTGGAAAAAGGGGGGTGGGGGGGGGGGAGGAATGAGAATGCAATGTTGCATGGCCAGTTCAGTTGCCACACACAGTGCAGGTTAGGATTTTTTTTTTCTACTGACATAATAAATCTGCATCCTTTAATAAGGATTGAACTTGGGCGTCTGGACTGAGAACCCAGAACTCTGACCACTTGGCTAATCACTTTTCTGTAATATGATTTTTGAACAGAACCTCAGGCAAAATTTTTAATACTTGTAAAATGTTTGTTGATTTTAATTTTTTTCTGGACAAACACTTGCACATGACTATTGTTTTGTCTTCAGGGTGTGATATCGAATGACAGACATTGCTTTGAATGCTATGGGTAATGCTGTGTAGTCATTTTTGTTTGTGTGAATCATTACCTTGTAAATACATTTTAAACTTATTTCCCCCAAGCAGTTTTAAGTGTAATTCTTATTAATGCACCCAGTTTCACGGAATGTAATGTAATACTAAACCCTTTTGGGTTTTAAACCTTGGCTGATTGAGGTAGGGCAATGTGAATTTTTAGAAAAAAAAATATGTGAATTGGCTAGATCCATGTGTGGATTAGGATCTGTTGTGTAGTATGTCCAGTTCATATGTGTAATATGTTGGGTTTATATGTGTAGTATGTTGGGTTTACATGTGTAGTATGTTGAGTTTATCTGTGTAGTATGTTGGGTTTACATGTGTAGTATGTTGAGTTTATGTGTGTCGTTTGTTGGGTTTACATGTGTAGTATGTTGAGTTTATGTGTGTAGTATGTTAGGTTTATGGGCATAGTATGTTGGGTTTATGGTGAAGTATGTTGGGTTTATGTATGGAGCTCTCCATGTGAGTTCTGTGGCCCCACTTTGTGGGGGGTGGGAGTGCAGGGGTGGGAGGATGTGGAATAGACCCATTGCCTCCGTGACAGGCATGTCATACTTTGGAAGCAACCAAATTGTTAGGATGAAAAATTAAAATCAATTTAGGTCCATCACTGGATATAGAAGAAGTCAAGAAGTAAATATATATATATATATATATATATATATATATATATATATATATATATATATATATATATATATATATATATATATATATATATAATATATATATATATATATATATATATATATATATATATATATATATATATCTATATATTATATTTCTGTGTGTGTTAGTGTGTGTATGTGTGTGTGTGTATATATATATGCATGTATATATATATGTATGTATATATATATATATATATATATATATATATATCTATATATATATATATATATATATATATATATATATATATATATATATATATAAAGCTTTGATAATTTTCTTTCTCTACATCACTTTACACTCATTCATTCATTCATTCAGTAGCATGTCCCTCGCGGAACCTCGCTGCCATAACAACCCTCCGGAAAACCTTCCTATCATGAGCAAGATGTCCTGCGTCTGATACACCCATCTGGAGTTCATCTGCCACATCCTGCACCCATCTTCTTTTTGGTCTTCCTCTTCCTCTCTTCCCAGGCATATACCCCTCCATTATTGTTCTCTCTAGACTTCCATGACGTTTCAAGTGACCAAAATATTTCAATTTTCTTTGTTTTATTGTCTTTACTAGCCAACCCTCTTCAATATTCAGCTCTTGAAGTATGGATGCATAACAATCACTTTACACTAACCATACAAAATGGTTAGTATCTAATGTTTTATTATTTGTAGGTGAATGCATCGCCATCTCTGTCTGCAACAACTTCCAGTGATCGAATCATGAAGTACAGGTTGATTTCTGATGTCATAAACATTGTGTTGCCACCTGGACAAATGCCTGAGTAAGTTGCTACATGAGACTGGTTTGGGGAAAGGTGGTCTCTGTTACAAAGTGATCAAGTCATTTGCCTAGCTTTCTCGAGGCCATGGGTGGTTTAGCTGAGTGGTTTAGGGGACCGGTGCATTTTGTACAGAGACCTGTGGCGGCTAGCCATTCTGCAGAGAAGGGCCGAGCCATATGAGATCAAACCTGGTGCACAGAAATGGATCCTTTCGACTTTAAACTTTTAAATCTTTTTAGGGCTGAGGGAGATAGACAGAACATTGCAAGAGACATAGTGAAATATTTATCTGTTTATATGTGTGTGAGAAAGAGAGAGAGGTACACATAGATAAAAATACACAGAGAGACAGCTGGCCTAGAGAAAGAAACAATGGAAATATAAATAGATAAGCAAAGAAGAATACAGTGAAGGAAACATATGAAAACAGGCACTGAATTAGAAGGAGATATTGACAGATTTAATCAGAAAACTGATCAAGCAAGACATGTAACTTAGTGTGTTACTGTTCTGTATAGCTTACTGTTCTGTATAGCTTACTGTATTACTGTTATTTTTAGCTTACTGTGTTACTGTTCTGTATAGCTTACTGTGTTACTGTTCTGTATAGCTTAATGTGTTACTGTTCTGTATAGCTTACTGTGTTACTGTTCTGTATAGTTTACTGTGTTACTGTTCTTTTTAGCTTACTGTGTTACTATTCTTTATAGCTTACTGTGTTACTGTTCTTTACATATTATTGTTCTGTATAGCTTACTGTGTTACTGTTCTGTATAGCTTACTGTGTTACTGTTCTGTATAGCTTACTGTGTTACTGTTCTGTATAGCTTACTGTGTTACTGTTCTGTATAGCTTACTGTGTTAGTATAGTTTACTGTGTTACTGTTCTGTATAGCTTACTGTGTTACTGTTCTGTATAGCTTACTGTGTTACTGTTCTGTATAGTTTACTGTGTTACTGTTCTGTATAGCTTACTGTGTTACTGTTCTGTATAGTTTACTGTGTTACTGTTCTGTATAGCTTACTGTGTTACTGTTCTGTATAGCTTATTGTGTTACTGTTCTGTATAGCTTACTGTGTTATTGTTCTGTATAGCTTCTGTAAAGCTTACTGTGTTACTGTTCTGTATAGCTTACTGTGTTACTGTTCTGTATAGCTTATTGTGTTACTGTTCTGTATATTTTACTGTGTTATATTCTGTATAGCTTCTGTATAGCTTACTGTGTTACTGTTCTGTATAGTTTACTGTGTTACTGTTCTTTTTAGCTTACTATATTATTGTTCTTTATAGCTTACAGTGTTACTGTTCTTTATTGCTTACTGTGTTGTGGTTCTTTACAGCTTACTGTGTTGTTGTTCTTTATAGCTTACTGTGTTACTGTTCATTACAGATTACTGTTCTTTATAGCTTACTGTGTTACTGTTCTGATATAGCTTACTGTGTTACTGTTATGTATAGTTTACTGTGCAACTGTTCTTTTTAGCCTACTGTGTTATGGTTATTTATAACTTACTGTGTTACTGTTCTTTTATTGCTTACTGTGTTGTTGTTTTTTATAGCTTACTGTGTTTCTGTTCTTTATAGCTTACTTTTTTTACTGTTCTTTTCAGCTTACTGTGTTACTAACTGTGTTACTGTTGTTACTGTTCTTTACAGGTAACTGTGTTGTTGTTCTTTATAGCTTACTATGTTACTGTTATTTATAGCTTACTGTTTTACTGTTCTTTATTGCCCATTGTGTTATAGTTGTTGTTCTTTATAGCTTGCTGTGTTACTGTTCTCTACAGCTTACTGTGTTACTGTTCTGTATAGCTTACTGTGTTACTGTTCTTTATTGCCCATTGTGTTATAGTTGTTGTTCTTTATAGCTTACTGTGTTACTGTTCTCTACAGCTTACTGTGTTACCGTTCTTTACAGCTTACTATTCTGTATAGTTTACTTTGTTACTATTCTTTATAGCTTGCTGTGTTACTGTTCTTTATAGTTTACTGTGTTACCATTCTTTATAGCTTGCTGTGTTAGCCTTTTTTATAGCTTGCTGTGTTCCCATTCTTACTCTCAAAGTGAGCAAAGAAAAGACAACACAACAATGTGCAGGCAGACAGAAAAAGGAGAGTGATAAAGAGTGAATTTTTTTTTTAAATAACGAAAGTCATGAAAGGAAGGAGAAAGAAAGAAAAGACATGTTTAAATAACTTCATACTGTACCTGTCATCAGTCAGAGTAGTTAAGGCCTCCCTTCCCCCTAGTGGGTTCCCGGGAGGGGATAGACCCACTTCCCCCAACAACCATGTCATAAAAGCCTGAGAGGCAAGGAACCAAGACTGCATACAAGTAAGACAGCTCTGTGAAACGAATGTGCATACAAAACTCCAGTTATCGAACAAGTCTTAGTCCAAAATGGACAAACAGCCAGAACTTTCTGCCAGGGTTTGCCTCCACGAATGATAAGAAGAAGAAAAAGATAACCATAGTTCACAAATTATCTTCAGGTTTGAAATAAAATGCTGTTTTGTTGTAATAATTTCAGCGTCAGGTGGAATAAAGTGCCAGATAAAGAAAGTTACGGACACTTTGATTTGCTGTGAGTACTTGGTTTTGACTTTAAAAAAAACTATGATATTAATCTGGTAATCCTAGTTTCAGCTTCATAGCAAATGGGTCACCCCATAGTTGCTCCACTCCTGTGCCAACAAAAAACACACTTAGCTCACAGTGTCACGCCATGCACTCAACTCAGAAGCTGGGTGACGAAACTATATCCTTCCAGTCTACAAATGGAGCAAAAATGCAACGGCCACCATCTGGCAGAAAAAAAAAAGGTGGCCGTGCCTAGCGTCCATTTTGACCTGAAGCATTATATGAGGGTTAATAAACGGTCACCCCAGCAGTACCCTCATTATTAGCTGGGGAAGAGACTTAGGACATTACATCCACCAGCAGGCGTCGCCCCTACAACGACCTGCCTGCCTTCGTTAACGACTGTTCACCCAACAGCCATGCAGTTCTTTGGCACGAAGGAGACACCTTGAACTTGGGTTTCGGACTGCCGACTCCCTACAAGATGTTATTTTATTTTTGTTATCACACTTGATGTCACTGCACATTGGGCATACCCATGCGTGCTCAGTTCTCCAAAGCAGCAGTCACTCCAAAGTACTTCTACTAATTGTCCCCATGAGAAGCTGGTTATATCGTCTCCTTTCTCGGCCCCAAAGACGGCAAAGACGTGCATCACCATGCTTAACTCCCATGTCACGCAATCGTGTTAGTGTCAGGGACTCCCCATTCTCCACTAGCCCAGTTCGTACAGCGTTGACGATATCTGCTCTGTCCATGCTTTTTCCCGCAATCATTGGTGCAGTGCTTGCCAGTTGGTCCGCTCGTTTATTTCCCTCTATGCCCGCATGACCCGGTGTGTAGATCCAGGTTATGGAGGTTAAGTGTGATTTCCGAATGCTTTCTATCCATTCAGAACTCATACTGCCTGTTGCTATCTTCTGAAGTATATTCATTGAGTTTGAGACAATTACTGCCTGTGTGGCGGTTTGCTCGGATACCCACACTAAAGCTCTAGAAGCAGCGGCTATTTCCATTGTCATGCTTGACGTGGTTGTCTGGTAAGCGCCGCTGTCCTCGTGTATTGTTTTCCCCCTTCTTTGCGCTGTGTATGCCCATGCTGACCTTGATCTGCGCTTCACGGATCCATCTGTGTAGATGATGGTATCTTCTGGGTCTGAATGCTGATCTATCAGTTCCCTTACTTCTGTGTCTACGGCCGCAGGAATTTGATCCCTGCAGTACCTTCCGAGTGTGATGACAACCTTAGAGGTGCCATGCATGTCTGCTGGTGTATTCATCCATTCTTTTCCGTGACTGATCACGTCTAGGTCACATACCTGCTGGATTAAATCCTCAGCCTTTGCCATCCAAGAGCGGCCTCTTTTGAGACGCGTTTCTTTTGTGTCACGTATAGCTTTGTGCAATGGGTGGTTAACGTCTGCCAATACCCTTATGTAAGCCTTGACCTGTGCCACTTTGTATCTGCTAGTCATCGTCGGCAAACCCAGGACATAACGCATGGCGTTGCTCGGTGCTGACACATATCAGTTTCATATTTGTGCCAGAGCACCCAGGCATGCTAGTAAATGAACAAGCTGATCCGCTTGCAGGTAAAGCTACTGTGGAGAGCGGACGAGCCAAGGACCATGCTGATATTCTGAATGCTCTACGAGAAGTAAGAGGTTTGCGAGAACCAAGCGATAGCTGTGAATCTGCAACAATGACTAAATTGCAAGAACAACATGTTAACAGGGGTTGTGGCCAGACAAGAGTACTATGCAGAAAGTGAAAGAAGAATAAGAAACCAACACAGAACTGGTATCATGAGCCGCTAGAGGCTGCTGGATTTACTCAGGAGGGGATCCGAGCACTTATGGGCTGAATGGTTTGAGGTGCAGTCAGGATAATCTGTTGAGAAACTAACTAACCATTAAATATTGTATTAATTACATCGGTTTTATATTTTTACCTTTTATTTTTCTCCAAATGATCTGAATGTGTTCTTGTTTATTTGTTTTCAGTACATTTAAAGTGTGGTTCCCTGTTGCTTTATGTCTAGGTATGATGAGGATCTGGCTAATGCAGACCAGAACAACCAGGAGCTCCGAGCTAGAGCCGGACTTTCAAATCCAGCAGTGAGACCTGGAGTACGGGACCCTCGAAGGTTTCCTCAGGCTACTTGGAAGTAACCCATCTGGGGCTCTTTCCAGCATATTTACATGAATTAATTAACCAGTTTTCTCAGTTTTATTGAAATTCGCTGTCATAAGAAGCAGTTAACATATTTATTTCTAGATAAGGGAAGAATACAAATCTTACTCTGTCATTTTCTCTTCGTATTCTTGTTTGCAACAGAAAAAAGTTATCCTTTTCATGACATTGTAAACCAACTCCAGCCTTTGTTGGCTGTCTGTGTTTTTTCTGGCAAATTTTGTTCAGAGTTTTGCCATTGATTTCTGAATGGTTGAAGCTTCAGATAAATGCAATGCATTTGCTGCCAAATCACCTGCAGCTGAGCTGAATAGGCTTTTTTGGAGTTATGAACTGCATTTATATCCCTTTAGTTCCAGCTGCTGACAACAAATAACAACATGACTTTCACAACAAAGCATGACTTTCACAACAAAGCATGACTTTCACAACAAAGCATGACTTTTGCAGCAGAAAAGCATCACTACTCTCTTAGAATTTTTCTTTTTACAAATGAGGTGGATGAGTTATTCATTTTTTTTTGGCGAATAGAATACTTACTTTTTATTTGAGAAAATTATGGTGTATAAACTCTGGCTGATTTGACTTGAAATTAATTTTCTTTGCATTAAAATAAATTATGTGTAACAAATTGTAAATTGCAGTGAGCTGACAAATATATGTGCTAACGTAACAGATTACAAATACATATTATAAAATAGAACATATAAGCATGATGAAATTTCTGTATTTGACAGACCCTGTATGGTTTCAGGAGCTTCATATGTGTGGAAAAGAAAAATAATAGACTCACTTCCCTTTAATGAACTTTCTGTAAAAGTCGACTAATTCGGAATTTGCTTAAATCTGATATGGTGGGTTAAAAGGTACAGATATTGTAGCTTAGCTGTAAACCACAACACACAGAGTGCCTGCTACCATTTTAAAGTTGAATTCAGCAGTAGAAGAAATGACTCTAGAGTATGTATATATGTGTGTATGTGTGTGTATATATATATATGCATGTGTATATATATACAAACATATATATGTATATATATATATATTACACACATACATATTTAAATGTATATGTATATAATTATATTTATATGTAAATATCTGTCTCTGTGTGTATGTATTTATATATTATATATATGTCTGTGGCTTAGGTGTTGCGAGTCCGACTCGTAATTCCAAAGTACCACGATCAAAATCCACTGCCAGCTGCGTAGATTTTCATCATGGTATGGGGCGTCGCAGACGGACCCAGCCTAAAATGGGTACCAGGATGGCTGTCCTGGGGAAGTAAAGACGGCCAGCGCAATGTTGACCACATTACCCACCGAGTGCCGACGGTCTGTAAAGATATGCCCGATATGCCTAAAGGTGTGAAAAGGGATCTTTATTTTATATATATATATAGTATGTAACTCACGCCATGGACCGTGTTTTGTGGAAAGGGCATATCAGGAAGGGAATGAAAGTGAAGGAAGAAATGATTGCAGAAAAGATCAGAGCTGAGCGTCTGAAAAGAAACTTATTAAACACAAATGTTGACAACAATGGTCCTAAAATCCCATGCTTTAATTATGGAAGATTTTTCTTGACACGGGCAGGTCTTGCTAGTCACACTCGCCATCACGAGTCTCATGCCTCCTGATATATATATCTGCAATATAACACTATCGTCTGGAAATACGGAAAGGTGCCAATGGTTGATGAATGTAACTTACAGCTTTTTCCTGGAAACAGCTAATGAAAGGAGAACATAATATTTTCCATATGTGGATTCCAAGAACCCATTTTAGGTGAACAATGAATACACCCACTGTTCCCTAACAAGCAGGTTGAAAAAAGGTGACTAAATAAGGGTATTTCCTTCAAAGTCAGTAGGCATCTGCCTGAGGCGCGAGGAACCAACAGTCTGTGTGCACATAAGCCAAATCTGTAAAAATTATGTGCATGCAAAACTCCGAGTTCTGTAACAAGACCAAAGTCCAGATATGGATGAACAACCAGAACTTTCCGTCAGAGTTTTCAGTCAGTGAATACTTAGAAGAAGAAGATTACAAGTAAACATAAGAGCTAGACAGATACTGTTCTTTGATCATGTGCAGAGAAGGGGAGCATTGGAGAACATCTATATACCTGGACAGATCGTAAGTAGACGAGACAGAAGAGAAATTACATTGAATGGTCTATTGTGGAGAAATATCATTAATAAAATTGACTTGGAACAGCAAGGACCAAGATCCGTTTACACATAAATGCCTGTGTTATTCAGCAAGGCATGTGATGATGATAATTTATTATGAATACCTTTAATAAAGAAAACTAGTGATGTTGAATGGTTTCAGTGTTCACTTCTAGCGCAAAAATTACTGGTTTGTTCTAGGGCTGTACCGAATAGTGATTTTCACTATTCGGCCAAATACGAATAACGGGACCAACTATTCGGCCGAATACGAATACAAATAGTGTATTACAAATATCTTTTTTTTAAAAACACACATTCACAATGTGAAATGTACGCTGAACTTTTTTACTTCACATAAAGTAGCACAGAATAGTCATCTTCTTCTTTAGCATTCTGAGCCCTTGAGGTTTACTGCTGCAGATATCACTCATCTCCATTCATCTCTCTGGCTGGCTTTCTTTTCACAATTTGTGACACCAGTTGTTTGCAGGTCTGACTGGACATTATCTCTCGAACTTCTTTTTTTGTCTGCCTCGTGGTCTACGCCCATTCCTCTCTCAGATGTATACAGTTTTACTTTTCTGTCCTCTAACATTCCTTCAATATGCCCCAACCATTTTAGTATGTAAGCTCTCATGATGCCAGTGATCAATGGTGTTTTAAACATGATTATGGGTTACGTTGTTGCTTCTCACTCTCCATTTCCCACTGTTGGCATCTTTGATGGGTCCAAAGATTTGTCGTAAGACTGTTTTCGAAAACCTGTAATAAAGCTTCATCTCTTTTTATTTCTGTTTCAAGTTTCAGAGCCATGTAAAACGACTGGTCTTATCAACGTTTTTATATTTTGATCTTGGTGTTGCGAGACAGACACTTTGACTTTAGCAGATGTTGAAGGCCATAGTATACTTTATTTCTGGATTGTTTTCTAGATTGTATTTCTTCTCTCAGCATGTTGGAGCAGTTGAAGTTTGCACCCAAGTACTTATATGTTTCCATTCGTTTGATTTTCATATTAATCCTACAGTCAGTCTGTGGTAACTAATAACTAGGAATGAAAGGATCCTAATTATTATAACAAGAAACTAAAATTGGAAATTGTCACTGACAGCTTAGTTAATGCATGAAAGCTGCATTAGCTTTAAACAAAACCAATCATTCCATGTTGTCAGCATTAAGGCTGTGTATGCAGAAGCGGGTGTAAGGTAACTACTATTCGTATTCAGCCCGACCGCAACTATTCGGCCGAATACCGAATAGTAATAGGTCAGCTATTTGGCCCCGAAGCGAATACGAAGCGAAATTTCGGTACAGCCCTAGTTCATTCTAATAAAGGTTTTTGAATGTTTTCTTTGAAACAATGGTATTGACATTCACCACAAGCCGATCACTTTTGCCTTTTCGGGGGTTTAGTCAGTTTACCGATTAATGTGGTCTTCACTGCAAAACCACTTTGGCTTCTCTGCATTCTTCGAGACTTCTACAACTCCAGTAGAATGTGTAACCTGCACCGACCTCGCAGAGTTTGCCCTCACCAGCAAGTCTAGTCTCACTCAGGGCTGCAATTTCGATGTTGTATCTACCAAGTTCTTTCCCAATCAGGGCGGTTCGTCTTTCTGGTGCCGATGCATTTTCTCTATCCAGGGGAAAGTTCGCACGTTCCACGCGCTGAACTTTAGTGGTATGTTACGAGTCTTTAGTTGTTGTTTTTGTCGACCGCAGAATAAAGGTTCCCTCCAGCCGCGGTATGCTGGGACAGGGTGAAGCAGGCAATTTTAAGGGCACCTTTTCTAGCCCCTTCCTCATGCCATGGAGGGGAGCAGTGCTTGTCCTAAAGAGAGTTGGTCAGTCACTCAGGGGGCTGCCAAAGTCCACTACTGTTCCTATCAGTGGACAGCGACCATATGACCTAAGCCGCCTGCGTGCAGGTCTGCGGCTATGGCTGCCAACGTAACCCACATCTGCCGCTTCGTCGCTCGCCCATCGCCACAGGACTTGAAAATGATGATGACTGATAGCTGGATGAAAGTGTCTTGCGCAAGGACTTGGATTTAAGTGAGGAAGAGTTGCTCATTTTGTCGACCGCACTCTCTCGCCTGTGTCCATGTTGATCCAATGGCAGGACAATGTCGAGACGATTGGTAATGGACCTTGGTGCAGTGGATGACCAAGACCTCTTAAGTGCCCTGCCTTAAGGGGGTAGTCTGATCAGAAATGTGAAAAATATATTTTTGCTTTAACATATTCTATGCCACTAACCATGTAGATAAATATGTCTATTTTCATGTGCAGTTTACAACTTTAAAATCCGATCAATAGAACTTGAGATAATTTGATTACAAATGGGTGTGTGTGGGTAGCTCAAGGAGGCAATTTTGACAAAAATTTCTACAAAAAAGTTTCTTTTCTTTAAATGGTTCTTTTCAATCCAAAACAATGAATCGCTCCCTTTTTCTTGGGTCTTAATCAAACTTTCCACAGAGCCTGCTGGTAATCGTCTTTTTACCCTTTGAACTAATAAGAGGGTTCATCTGCGCAATCCGCCGAGTCCAGTCTTTGCATGCAGGGTAGGCATATCGCCAATTGTCGAGTGGTTTAGAACCAGGTCGGTTACCCTCTCCTGGTTTAGCCAGCCCGTCAAAGCTGTTGCCAAGGGGCTGGCCGCTGTCGTATGCTGACAGATGCTGGGAGCCACAGGAGAGAGCTGAGTTCCAGACCTCGCCCAGTGGTGATGAACTGCACTAAGAAGGACATGACGGTCACCTTGTCAGAGGTACTACTAGTATCTGACACCCCAGAACCCCTAGCGAAAGTACAACATTATTCGCAGTTATAAAACAAGAAACATAAACTAAATATAACAATTGATATAACAATAATGCAAAGACATTAAATAGGCATCTGACTTTAAATATTCAGGTGTTAGATTCACCAAAGATGGGAGGCGGAATTAAGAAATTAACATCAGACGCAGTAAAACAAATCATCAGATGCAGTAAAGTAAAGCAAGTAGGGGTACAGCTACCCCCCCCCCCCCCATCTTACAGCAAAAGACATTCATAATCACACGCTTTTCAGGAAAAAGGGCAATAGACATAAGGGGGCAAATCATGGCTGGGTAGGGCAGAGGATGACATCATGCAGGTCTGCAGCCTTACAGACATCCATCCAGGTCAGGAATGGATACCAGCGTCTAAAGCGCCCAATCTCACATTCTCCTGTGTCGTGACGCTTGATAGGAGTTGTCGGGAGCAGAATCCCGCTGCTGTCAACGCCGAGGTATGCGCGTCTATCAGTGACAAGTTAGAGAGACAGATGTGGTGATATTCACAGACGGGTCCGTTATACGAGGACATAAGAGTGCATAGGCATTTACAGCTGGCTCTTCAGGTAGAAGTAGAACAGTTCAAGAAGCCAGCGGTGCCTTCTCCATGACTACTATAATTACTTGTAAATAGCAATTTCGTCCTTTTTAGGACGAAATTTTTTTGTCATTTGAAGCCCTACTCTGGCTTTGCCAGGGGCCGCAATATAGGCAGGCCATATATATGGCCAAATGTCTGAACGCGGTTTCTGGGACCTCTCCACGGCGATCCTCATCCGCATGGTGGCACTTTGTGTCATCGGGTGTTTATCGCTTGTGTGATGTCCTGGTGGGGTAGAAAGTCAGTCAGTTCTACATGACTCCCAGCAACATGGCGATGGCGGTGACACAAGCTTTCATGTGGCTAGAATCACAGGACTATTCCCTCTTGTGTGTGCTGAGTGATTCTTTAAGCATGGTGACAGTGGATTGAGTCATTGCAAAACTCTCCTGTGTGTACAGTAACCTTCGTATTTGTCCCATGGAATGCAGGTGTTGTTGGTAATGAAAGAGCTGATAGACTGGCAATAATTGAAGATTACCGGCCCATGGATCACGCAGACATTGTCAATGCATTTAGAGAGATAAGACGTTCTGAGGATTTTGAAAGCAACGTGTCCACATCACTGCTAAGAATACGAGAACTGGGAGTAAATATCGGCACAACCAAGCATGAGAAGCACACAAAGTCTTGCTGACCAGCATAGGACTGGCACTATTAACCGCGCGACGAAGATGAATATGTTGAGAGGAGAATCTGAGCACCTATGGGTGTATCCGGAGTGCTGTGTAAGATAATCCAACTCTTACCTCAACTCAGTCCTAATCAACACAAAGAAACATCTTCTACAAAGCATATTTATTCTCATCGTGAGCCACCAGTGTTAAACTCAGCAAACAAACACAAGAAACCATAACAGAAAATTAGTAATTACAGAATTAAGATGACTGAGATGTCTGAGAAAGGCTGTATGGGTGACCCAAAAAAAAAAAAAAATCAGAAATGAGGTCATAAGAGAAAAAGTAAGACAGCAGATCAAGTGATTTGGTTACTTTGAGAGAATGCCTGGCGACGCCTGCCATACAAGGCACACGTCAGATGTTGAACATTGAATTAAGAATCGACATTTCAGCACTCGGGACACCCCAAGCGCTCCATCCCCATCTTCAGCAGCAAGAGTTCCAGTTACGATGGCACCTGTAACTGTCTGATTGTATATCTCTATCGCCTTACCCCGAGTGTTGAGCGCTGGCCAGATCCTCTTGTAACTTCTCGCAGCACCATTCTCCCCGAACTGTGATGATCTGTCTGTGTCTCCTCACTGTTCAATGGCTCCCAAAGAATCATCACAACATCCTGCTTGTCATACATCAGTTCACCACCAAGTGGTGCAGAACCGGCCAGTCTATCTGCCTGCTCGTTTCCCAATACACCGGCATACCCAAACAGAGAAAGACGTAGAGCACGAGGTAGAACTAGAACAAGCTAGAAATATATCACGCTAGAAATATATCACATCAGACACTCTACGCGTCTCTGGTGGAGACGGCTAGAAGAATGAGAAGCAAAACCTTATATCACTTTCGACACCCGAAGCGGTAAAAGAGGAAGTGAAGAAGATGACAATTCAATAACCAAGTATACTATTTAAATGCAAAATATACAAATTTTCGGGACATTAGGAGTCTCTATTTTGGCACTGGTGAAACGTTGCAAGCTAGCTTGGTTCAGGCACGTGGCGAAACGTGATTCCATTGAACAGACTTCACTTCAAGGAGCATTGAAGGGGGGTAGGGTGGTGTAGTCGAAGAAGAGAAGGGCGAAAAAAAAATTGGAATGACAACATCAAGAAATGGACCTGCCTAAGTTATCACACACTTGTTCAACAAACGAAAGACAGAGAAAGATGGTCGGTTTTGCGTGCTGTTACTTCCATCAATACACCTCCACGACCCTAAAGGGCCAATGGTTAAGTGCAAATATAACTGAATTTCTACCCCACCAGGACATCACGCAAGCGATAAACACCCGATGACACAAAGTGCCACCATGTGGATGAGGATCGCCGTGGAGAGGTCCCAGAAACCGCGTTCAGACATTTGGCCATATATATGGCCTGCCTATATTGCGGCCCCTGGCAAAAGCCAGAGTAGGGCTTCAAATGACAAAAAATTTCGTCCTAAAAAGGACGAAATTGGATATATATAAAGCAGAGAATTTAATATAACACGAGGTCGACCGGAAAAAACATGGAAACGGAGCTCTCTCCAACAGGAAGTTTAATCGTGAAAAGGAAAATAAAGCTCGTCTGATTGGAGAAAATTCAGACATTGAACGTTTGCAAGATTAGTTTACTGATTCAGTCGGTAAGTATTGCTCATTCTAAGAATTATTTATCAGATCTGAAAAATGGGCATGCACGTAATTTATATTTTATGGTAAAATTTACATTTTATTCTTCTTTCTTTATTTCTTACTTAATCCTTGTTGTGAGTGAGTCACTGTGTTAAAAAAATTGAAGCTGAGGGGGGAAAAAGTATTGATTGTTTTATTAATTTAATTATTTCTGTGATTGGTATCATACTAAGTGTGATGATGACCAAACCATCTCATCTGTCGGTGTCACTCTTTAATAGTTTAGTGGACCGTAATTATTGGTTTCAGTCTTCAAATTTCTTAATTTGTAATTTAGGATTTAGGCTATCCTCCGAATAACGGTCCTAAATTATCGAAACGGAAAATATACCCTAACAGGGCCTCAGTCTTGTGTCAACTGCGCACTTCCGGGAACTATAACGCCACCGCCAAATTGCAAACTTCCGGTGACTTTCACCACCCCCGAGAGTATCCCCCACGTCATTCAGGCGGTGCGGATTGAGGCTAAACTAGATGGCTAGGACACATGAGCAAATAAAATGAAGCTGCAAGAGATGTGGTAGCTGCTGCTCGTGAGTCCCAGCCATCTAGTTTAGCCCTAGTCCACGCCCCGTTTTGGAGATACTCTCGGTGGTGGTGGTAGTCGTCGGAAGTGCGCAATTTAAGTCGCTGGAAGTCCGAGTTGACATGTGACTGAGGCCCTGTTGGAGTATATTTTCGGCCTCGATAATTTGGTACGGTTATTTCACCTTTTTTAGGGGTGCTTTTGGACAGCCAGGGTGCTTCCTCCATGCTGTCTCATATCCTGCGCAGCTCAAAATGGTGACACCATAATTCATTAGTGCCTGCCACTATGCTGAAATGAAAAAACCACCTTCCACTCCGTAATGCATTAAGTAGGTCAAAAACCATCCCACAAATTCCTTCTTTCGGTGGTCATACAGATCACTGCTACCACTGTAAATACACCGACTGATACTGAAACACACGAGGGATGAGGTAATTGTCCTAAATAGGAGACCTATAAATAAACAGAGGGGGGAACCATTTGAGGCCGTTAAATATTATGAATTAATCAAGTAACAGAAAGTATTGTGAACGGCACTCATAGAAAGAAGTAGAAAGATAGAAGAACACACTAGACAACATAAAAATCGAAAGGAGGCACAGACGCCGTCTGGAGGCGACAGATTCAATTCCCGGCACGGTAACTATAGCTTTCGAAATATTAGTGCAAAGTGTATACAGTGGAGAGGTCTCCTTGATGGAGCTTCATTGGGATAGAAGGGCTTGGTACGAGTTGGTTGGAAACCTATGCTCCACTGGGGGGGGGGGGGGGGGGGGGGGGGTCATATTTTAAAAAAAAAAAAAACAAGACAAATTTGGCAGCATAGGCAAGCAGTTGGTCCTATCTATCTATTGTCTTCTTCACTTTTACCGGGTTGCAGCCCAGTGTCGTGGTTTAAAATATTTGTTTTGTGCCTCTCGCGTGATTTGAGTGACAGTTTTCTGGATCTTCTGGCCGTATTCAGCTACTCCATCTATCCATTTTTTCCTGGGTCTTCCTCTGGCCTTTCTTGCCGATGTTCTACTGTAAAATGCCTAATAGGCAATCTGATCCGGTTGCATTCTTACTAAATGGCCAAACCACTTCATTCTCTGTCTTTCAATATGTTCCATGCATGCTCTTGTTCCAACTTTGTCTCTAATGCTGACGTTTGTGACTGTCTCTTCGTGTATTGTTGGTGACTCTCCGGAGACATCGCATTTCACACGTAGTTATTTTTAAGCAGTTGGTAATGGTGGCATTTTCTGTGCAGTGGCAATAAATACAACTTTCTGTAGGATCAGTAGAATGTATAAGTGACTGTTGATTATTTTGTGTTAAGTGTAGTGTGATAACAGATTTATTGGGTAATTTTTCTTTATTTGCAGTGACAGTGAGTAATTAACACAAAATTGTGCAGCGCTGACGTTGTTACGAGTGGGTTGCCTTGTTGCCGTGAAAGTCATCTCCACAAATCAGCCATGTCTTACATGCTTCAGCACTTGCACAATGGCTGGCAGGTCGACCAGGCCATTCTGTCAGAGGAAGACAGAGTGGTAGTTATACGTTTCGGCCACGATTGGGACCCCACTTGTATGGTGATGGATGAGACCCTGTACAAATGTGCAGATAAGATGAAGAATTTTGCTGTTTGCTATCTTGTGGATATTACAGAGGTAAAGAATTCTTATTTCTTGTCTTCTTCTTCCTTAGTCCTGTTCTGGTTTTTCAGTTTCAGGATTTTAAAAAAACATTGGGTGGGAGCCTTGCAGGTGTTAGTATTTACAGCTTGGGATATTTCATCTATCCATCGCTTGCATGGTCAGCATCTAGTTGTGCTTCCATTTTGTCTAAGTGACGGGGCACTATCTGGTGGTAATTGTAACACATGTCTAAACCATTTGATCTGTTAGCCTCAATTACTGGTTTTGTCCCAGCTTGTTTCTTGACATCTTCATTTCTGACCTTGTTTCTTTTAATTACATTTAAGATTCATCATAGATATTTCTTATCTTTTGTTTCAGTTTTTCTTTTTCCTTGTTCCCTTGTTAATGTCCACCATTGGCACTGGTGGTAAAACTGTGTTGGTAAAAATCTCTCTTCTTGTTTCTTTGAGCAAAATTAATTCAGTGCCAGCTGGCTAGACCTGTCACAGTTGATGGGAGTATTTAACCTGATGGATCTCATCCCACTTGGCAATCCAGAGCCCCGTTAATCTGCTGTCTCAGTGTAAATAATTTTACTGTATATTAATCTATCCCCTGAGGACATTTTCTTTGGTGAATTACAAATGGATAGATGTTGAGATTAACCTTTACTACCAAAAATAAAGTGTTTGCAGGCAGGAAAGGAATGAGACAGGTAGGTTTATGGCAACAGGCTGGCTTGATTTTGACCACATCACCCACAGTGCCAATTGGTGTTCTTTTCTTTTTACTTGTGATCGGAACAGTATGCCATAGACCATGTTTCATGAAAAGGGAAAATCAGGAAGGTTATAGAGATTATAAAGAAAATGGTCGCAAGTAGTTTAAGTGCTGAGTGTCAAAGATGAAGCATGTTAAATAAAAGCGGTTTACAAACAAATCCTAAAATCCAAAGCTCTAACTGTGGAAGACTTTTCCTAAAGTGAGCGGGTTTTGCCATTGCTAATCTCCTACTCCCCTTAGCTATGATTTCAGCTTAATATAAGACTGTCAGAAAAGTGCCAGCTGGAGGTGAACACAGCCTTTATTGTTGTATTACTTCTTCTTATTATTCCTCTCATAGTCCAGGCTTTGTAGTGTTGGTGGGGATGTCTGCCTACATCCTTCTGCCTCTTTGACTGTGAGAAACACAAATTTCTGATGCTCTTCTGTGCCCTGATGCCAAACTGTCCCAATTGTCTTTTGTTATCTCTTAAGCCATGCATGGTAGGTTAGTTTTTTTATTCTCTGTTTTCTTTACAGACTCTGGAAACACACTGGGGAATATCTTACGAGTTTAAAGAGTAAAGGACCCCTTTCCACGCCTACAAGCGTAAACGGCCAGACCTGTATTTTATAGACCAATCGGCACTTGGTGGGTGATATGTTCAGCATCACGATGGCCATTACTTTCAAGGCCTGTACCTGATGGTCACTCAAGGTTGGGTCGACCAGAAAGCCAAAGTCATTTTTTGGGAAGGGAGGGGGGGAATTGAGAATAGACCTACTACCTCTCTGGCAAGCATGCAAGAGTTTCCTATTTCTGGGTCAAGACACAAATCCAGAAGTAGACAAACAACCAGAAATGTCTACCAGAGTTTACAGCCAGTGAATGCGAAGTAGAAAGAAGAAATGGTTGGTTATTACATTTTAAAACAAAATCATGTTATTCTTTTGATAGATTTTATTGATTTGACTTCTGCAGGTTCCAGACTTTAACAAGATGTATGAATTGTACGACCCGTGCACAATTATGTTTTTCTATCGCAACAAACACATCATGATTGATTTGGGAACAGGTAACAACAACAAGATCAACTGGTCAATGGAGGATGTGCAGGAGTTTATAGACATTGTGGAAACAGTTTACAGAGGAGCCAGGAAAGGCAGAGGTCTCGTAGTGTCGCCCAAGGATTATTCGACAAAATATCGATATTAAATTGTGTTTATGTATTTGTGCACAGAAAATATGTTAAATAAACAATTGTTTGTGTAGGAACATGGTATCTTTCAGTTGTGAACTAAAAAGAGGGTATTAAATTGTATCTGAACAAAAGACAGAACATGGATCTATTGCGGCCAAACTTTCAAAAACAAAATGTTTCGGGGGGGGGGATAGTGTCATTGTGGTAGAATTTGGATAATGTCTGGGTGCCCATTCTGGTTTCACAACAGACATAAATTTTAACATAAATTTATTTATTGTTATTAGTCTCTGTCTGGCAGTAGATACCCTTCAAGATTGCAGACCACTGGATTAACACCACAAAGATGAGAATCCTACAAGTACAAACTCCGATAAGCCCCATTCAGCCGTGAGGTTTTTTTTGGGGACTGTTACAAAGGAACCAGATGGCTGGACTGAGCAGGGATAGGACTATGTTGTGTGACCTTGGGCATTTTATTATGTTATAATGTTACTGTAAAAAAAAAAAAACAAACAACTTGGATGTGTTATTGGCAGGTTGAAATCGGCACCTTTTCACTGATGTTGAATACATCAGCTGTGCACGGCTGATTTGTCTGTGAGAGTATGGTTCTAGAACCATAATTCCGATACGTAAGTTGCATGATAAGGATCATTAACCTACTTTTAAAGGAAACGTTACCTACTTTAAATGTTTTCATAGTTACTTCCCTTATGAAGATTTCATTCGTTGGGATTCAATCTCATGTTTCACTTTATGTTATTATGGTCGTGTTTTTTTTTTTTTTTTAAAATCATTATTTTATTTTTAAATGTTACAGTTGTTTACTTAAGATGTAAATTATGAATGTCATTTGACCTGTTAAATGAATAACATTTTGAAACATTGCTGCCTTTGGGTGTGTTGACTTTGAATTAGTTATTTCTGTTGCCTATGTCAAGAAGGGCTCAATAAAAGGCATTCTTTCCCAAAGGTTGGGGTATTTGGGTCATGTTAAACATGGTGGTGGCCCTGAGAGAGCCATGATGGAAGGTACAGTTTTCAGAAAAAAGAGGCAGAGGGAGACATCTACGAATGTGGATACAAGACATTGAAGATACATTGTCTATGATTTGATTTGATTCAAGAACCGACATCACAGCACTTGGGCGTTCCCATATGCACTCCGTCCCCATCTTCAGCAGCCAGTGAAGAGTTCCGATACTAATGGTGCCAATAGCATTTTGATTAAACGTCAGTCTTACCTTTCCTCTGAGCCTCGAGCATCTGCCAGAATCTCTCGTCACTCCCCCCTGCATCAATCTCACCAGACTGTGGTGATCCATCTGCTCCTCTGGACTGTACACGCTCTCCCACATGCATCGATATTCCACTAAGCTGTGCAGAGCCAGCCAGTCTGTCCGCCTGTTCATTTCCCAACACACCCGCGTACCCTGGTGAAAAAATCCAGACACTACTCCTCGCCCGTGTCTTCCGCAGTGGGGCACGCCACTCTGTACAAAGCATGCTTGTCTCGATCTTCTTCAGCATGTTTTCTGAGTCAGTTACAATCACAGTGTGTGTGTGTGTTGTGTTCTCTAGCCAGCGGAAAGCTGCAGTGACCGCCTCCACCTCCATTCTTAAGCTGGATGTTGTGGTATCCAATACTAGGCTCTCCTGCACCAAACGTCGACCATTAACCTTTGCTAAGAAACTCCAAGCACTTCTTTTGCCTTAACACTGAACCATCTATGTAAATGATCAAATCTTTTGACCGAGCATTATCTTGAATTAATTGATGAATTTCCACCTCTGTGGCACCTGCTGGCCAGTCTCTGCATTTCCGGCTAAGTGTAGACTGTTCAGGTGGCACTTTGACCCACTCCTCTCCTCGCCAAATGTTCTCAAGGATGCAGACCTGTCTTATGTCTTCTGCCTGAGCCATCCGTAACTTTCCTCTTATCAGCCACTGACCCTTAACTGCACCCAGAGCTTCGTGCAAAGGGTGGTCTGTCTCTGCAGATACCCTAAGATTGGCATTGGCTATGAAAGCACATAGGGCTGGAGGCTTGGCTAGAAAAAAGAGAGACTTTCAGGTCTGCCATGATGGAAGTGGCATTCCGTACAGACATGCTGATTGGTGGTGATGATTTCAAGAAGCAGCTAACCAAGCAGGTCGATAGCTGTAGTCGTTTTTTTTTTTTAAATATCTAGGTCTGACTGCTCAATAATAGGTTGGAAATATGTTTCTGTCAGGCGTAAAAAATGTTCAGCTTCTCTAAACTGTGCTGGCCATTAGGCTCTAAATCCTCAGAATTTAAGGTCTTTTGTGGTCTACTTGTTACATTTACAGTATAGAAGAGGCATCTGCTTTGGTGTGTTCACATTCAGGAGCCATCTCCATAATAAAAGTTGGCTTCAATGGATCTCCAACATGCTCTGTCTCAGACTGCTGTTCTGATATTGTTCTGTCACTTGTATCGTTGTATACCTCTTGCTCTCCACCTATCCCTCCAGTATGGTTTTTAATAGCATGTTTTGTCTTTTAATGTGGCCTAGTAATTTCATTTCATTTGTGTGATTTTTTTTCAGTCATTTGTGAAAACTTGGCGGGAGAATTTCTGGTTATTCTTTCACCACTGGGCTTAAGCCGTGCTACAGAACAGGAGTTTTGCATGCTCATCTGCTTCACAGTTCTGGCTTTTGTGAATGCGTTCCGTTGGTTTCTCACCCCTCAGGCAGATGCACTCTGACTTGGAAGGAAGCCCCTCCCCTCAGCCCTAATTATTCAACATTTGCTGCATGGGAGTAAGTGAGTCTAATTCCCCCTCGCTCCCACACACCGTACCACAAAACCTAACTGGAAAGCCCTATGTGGTTAGACCTTCAGGTGTGAACATGAGTTGGGGTATTTCAGTTCCCTTCCGGGGGGTCTCCGTGGCAAAGTGGTCAAGTCATTTCTGAAGTCTGAAGGTCGTGGGTTCGTTCCACGGCTGCGCCCTTCAGTTCACAATTGCAGTTTTGTTGGAGATCCCTTGGGGATCTACTGGAGCTTTGGGGTTTGTGGGGCTAGCCGTTCTGCGGAGCGAGATTGGGTCACATGGGATAAAACCTGGTGCAATAAAGTCGATCCTCTCGACTTTAACCTTTGACTGTTCTGTCCTCATTTTTCGTCCCGGACCAGTGTCTTGCCGCAAATGCACTAGCCATGGTGACTCGTGTAATATGTATCAAAAGTAGAGTTAGTTGCAAAACCCAAATCACAGCACTTGGCACATTTCCATAAGCGCACCATCTCCAGCGCTGAGTTCCAATTCTCTCATAGTCCATGCCCTGTGGTGATTGTAGGTCATCTTCTTCTTCTTCCATTCGCCTGAAATAGTTGTCTATATCAGCAATTTTTTCTCTTATATAAATGTAATTGTCGCTAGTTCATTCAGTGGTCCATAGAGTTGTATGTTCCACTGTTTTTTCTTTCCGGCTAAAAGGTTTGCCTTAATGTGTCAAATTCAGTGCAATCCTGGAGTACATGCTCTGCTGTCTGGTGCGCATGGCTGATACGCCTGTCTTGAATTTTGTGTACATGTGGTTACGTAATCGATGGTAGTCATGTCTTTCCACAAACTTCTCTATCTTGTATAGCATCAATAAATTCTGACACAGATGAACACCTCCCTTGCCATAATGTCACACTGCCCATCATCTTCTACCGCTGTGTCTTTTCTTTTCAAACTTTTGCACCGTCACAATGTACTCCATTTATTCTACTTTTCATAGGGGCTGCGTGGTCTCGAGGCATGGTGTCCGCGATCTGCGGTAAGGGCTGGGAAGATTTTACGTGGACTTGGATTTCTAGTAATTCCCCTTGTCTCTGGGGAGTGAGAGCGGATGCCCGTGTGCATTGCTGCGTACGTAAAAAAAAAAACCTCGACAGTTGAAAATCGTAAAGAGTAGCCTTACTGTGCTGCCAGGGCAGAAATTTGTTGTTAAAAATCTGCCCAAAGTATTTCAGGATCCTGGCCGGTGCTTCAGAGCCTATGCACTGTGCTGAGCTTCTTCGGACTCTTTCTTTAAAGACTATGAAAAGTTCCTTGAAGTCATGGCACATCTGGCTGAGAGCAAGAAACCATTCTACACACAAGTAGTCCGCGTGTTAAATGGATGTGTATGCAATACTCAAATCAATTTCATGTAACAAGACCAAAGTATAGCCACTGATAACACAGCCAATACATTTTGCTGGAGTTCATAGCAAGTGAGTCAAAAGAAGAAGAAACATAAACTGTGGGTTAATATAAAAGGAAAACAGTGTCGAGATATTAAGAGGCAGACACATTATAGTCCAATAGAATGTTGCAAACTTGGTTAGAAAAAAGAGGGTGTCGGAAAATCCGCTGCAACTAAACTCCATTGTGGAAACGACAATAAATTAAATGTTGAATTAAGAATCGACGTCGCAGGACTAGGGACATTTATCACAGGCTTTCCATCCCGATCTTCAGCGGCAAGCAGCATTCCATTGGTACCAGCTTGCTTGCCTATCCATGTCTCCTTGCTCTTGAGCACTGAACCTCGCCCAGATCCACTGGTCATTTTCACACCATCATTTTCCGGAGTCTGCGGTGGTCTATTTGTGAGTCAGTACTGTTCACTTGCAGCCAAAGTACCCTTACAACATCCAGCTTGACATGTATCAGGTCACACCATCAAGTGATGCACAACCAGCCAGTCTATCTTCTTCTTCTTCTTCACTTCCTCTTTGACCGCTGTGGGTGTCGAGGGAGATATAAGGTTCTGTTTCCAGCTCTTCTGGCCGCCTCGACCATAGGCACCTCGTGCTGTTGTAGAGTTTGGTTCTTGGTCTACCTCTTGCTCTACGTCCTTCTTCTTTTTCTATGTATGCTTTGTATGGTATGGTGTCACAAGGCATTCTCTCTAAGTGGGCAAACCATTTCACTTGCTGTTTTTGTATGTAGTTTAGAATTGGTTGTGTGCCGACTTTTTCTCTTATGATCTCATTCCTGATCTTATC